CTACTTACAACAAGCTTTCCCAGACCTACGCATCACAATTAGGTGGTGCCCAGGCCATTCCGGAGTCCACGGAAACAAAATCGTTGACGAAATAGCCAACAAGAAGGCCAAAACGAAACTCCCCAGCACCTTCAGGGTCACACCAAACGCATCAAGCTTTATCACAGCCATCAAAGAATGGCGAACGAAAAACGCAACTGTAATCACGTCCGAAGAAAATAAACGCCTGGGTCATGAACCCCAATCATCAAGACACCTCAAGAGCATCTCACGTCTCAACAAACACGAAATAGCAGCAATAACGCAGCTAAGGTCAGGACACGCCCACTTAAATCAATATTTATACAAATTCAAGCAACAAGGAGACCCTGGTTGCGAATGCCAAGAAGGCGCCGAAAGTGTAGAACACTTTCTACTAACATGTCACAGATACGACAACGAACGCAAGAAACTCGAGAAAGCCTTAAAACATCTCAAACTCACACCTCTCACGACATCAATCCTCAACAACCCCTCAGCTTTCGAAGCCATAGCAACATACTGTAACAGCACGTGGCGGCTTAAAAGCCGCTGGGTATGGGCCAGAATCACAAACGAAACCACGCCTGAAGATAGGCAACAACCGGAAGAGTAGTTTCTTTTCTTAAAACCACCATCCTTTAGCACCGCACTTCCATTTAAAAATAAAAAACATGTAAAATAGATGAAACAGCCAACGGCAACCCTTTCCCCTGACACAGCCAGAGGGGTTTTACAGGTGCCGGAAGACATATGCAGTGCTTGATAGCCGGAAGGCTCTAACAGCACTTAAAGCAATGAAATAAAAAAAAAATCAAGACAATTTGATTCATCAAGAAACTCCAATCTTTGAAATTTCAATCACTATACTGATTTGATTTGGACTACTGATTATTACAGTTTGCTGCAATTTCTTCAATCAATGTTTCCTTTCCTTGGATCTATTTACAATGGACTTACTTGATCTCATTTTCTTTGTTTTTCTGAATCTACAAAAGTGAAAGGAATTCGAATCACAACTTGGACCAACTGAATTGTTGTATTGTCAACTGAATTGTCAGCTCTTCTTCCAAGACAGTTCTATGTAGCCTCTTCATTGAGCTTTACCCACATTTGTGACTGGTAAAGGTCAATCAATGTCCAGATCATACAACATCAAGATAACATCTGAAACCTCAAAATTTACTATGCAAGCTCAGAATGGTATCAGCTGGACCTGTAATTAGATCCTTTCTACTCAAAGGTCAGCACTTTTTTGTACTATTACTACCAGTCAGTTTTCTTGAGAGACCTTCAATTCAACTGAGGAGAAGAGTGGGAATTCACTTACACAATCTTTGATCTGTATGACATTTAGTGCTACTCATTCCACATGGAGAAAGAGTTCTATAGTTGTTTGTTACAAATATCACCTTTAATGAACATGATATTTTGAATTTCAAACTGCATTGGTATTGCAATGTATGCTCATGATCTAGAAAAACACTGAGAGTTGTTTGGGAATTGAGTTTTGACACTTACAGGGTTTCATCAAAGTCATACAGCTCAAGCTGGATTAGATTTACCAAGGATTCTATTGCCAATTTTTCAAAGAAAAAAATCAGAAGAATTATCTGAGAAGAAGTTGTGTTGATTTATTTTGGTTGTTTGTTGAATGTTGGGGTGTGAAGGTTTTGGGGGTGATGTTCATAATGAAGAGTGTTCACTGTTTCAATTTTCTTCAACAATTGTTGTATCATATAATTTGTGTTGTTGTTCTTCTTAATACCAAGCTCAATTCCTCCAAAAAGTTGATGTTGAGATTTTTATTATATTCGTTAAAGTTGATTAATAAATCCATTGATGATGCAATGAGTCAAGTTTTATAGCTAATCGAATCGTTTACAATGTATGAGAATTAAATCATGAGCATTCCCGTCCAGTCAACATTCTCATGGTGAAACAACTTCAAGGTAGTGAAAGATCAATAGCTCAAGACTCAACACCCTAATCTCAGTATCCAATCTTGAGCAATCAATATGGTACAGCCTATGCACTTGATAATGGATCATATGGATTGGATTTCAATAACAGTACTCCAAGAGACATCTTTTTTGGAATTTTGTTAATGTTGAAAACTTGACGCCTCTGGAGAGAGTTTTGAAGCGAAGGACATTTGATTTGCAATGTGATTCATTATTATGTTTCTTTAAGATATCTTTCATTTGAGAATTTGAATGACTTGATGTAAATACTTGGGTATCTTCATATTTCAACATTTGTTTTAATTTCTTGAACTGCATATCAAGGTTTTTGGATAAAATCAAAATCTGCAGTGTGTGCATTCTGCAATGTGTTACATAAGTCAATTGTTACCCTTTGATGCTTTACAAACTGTGGGAGTGTGCTGGGTTAATATTATACCATGAGTGATGTACACAATAAACCATCTTTTGTAAATTTTCTCAATTGCCATCTTGCAAACTGAGTGTAATTGAGACATGACATGGCGGTGCCAGCCGCTAAGGCGGCGTCCGCCGCTAAAGAGCTAGTATATATATATATAGCAGAAAGGCTCCATGGTGAAACTTCAAGAAATGAAAGAAGGATCATGTAAAACCTTGTGGTGATCATGAATTGTAGCGTATCTGTTGAATTCTGCAATGAAAGAAGGATAGTGTAAAATCTTGTGGTTATCATAAAATGGAGTGTATCTTTTGAATTCTGCTGCTATGACATACCTCATAGCAGCAGCAAATTAAATCTTCTAGGTGAGACCTGGTGATGATTCCTGAAGGTTTGGTGTAATCACTATAACACCAAACAAACCATCCGACAAGTCTGGTTCATCAATTAGGGACATGGTGGGTGGTGATGTGCCGTAATCAAGACAAAACACCATTAGATGGTGTTTTGTCTCGTATGTCCTTGGCCGCTCAGTAGATAAACTTCCATCATCCATCCTGCAAGCTTTTATATCCACACGTGTTGATTCTAACTATTTCTAAACTGATCAACACATTCAGCTTATGAATGTTTCAGTCAGTCCAACTACCTGGATCACCTTCTCTTACCACGACTCTGTGTCATTAAACTCAGGAGGACATGAGAGCCTGATAATCAGTGCGTCAATAGTACCTACTTGAACATACTCGGTGCCCTCAAAGTGATCTAGAAGCTGAGGTATACTGTGATACCTCAGCTTCTAATTCTGCAAGTGTGAGTCTGATGATCCCGTTCTTTTATGGCACACAGCACAATGTCTAACCAACCTGACCAAAGCCAGCATCAAAAACTCTGCCGAGTTGGCTGTCACAACATATCAATCCCATTATCAAAGAGACCGATATGATGTTGCTACATTATAAATGAGTATCTGTGGTTGTAAGAAGGTGAAGAGGTACCGAAGAAATAGTTATTTCTTTCATGAATGTATCCATCATAACATTTACGAGCCTTGACAATCTTCAAGCATTATAATTTTCTTTCATGAATGTATCCATCATAACATTTACGAGCCTTGACAATCTTCAAGCATTTTCATTCTGGATGACTTTTGCTCCTAAGATAAATAAGTTGTGGGTGTGAGATAAAGCAAACACTGTATCCAACGTGCAAATATCCAAAACATGCTTGAGATAATATCGATGTTATAATCAATTCAATGACCCCGATTTAAAATCGGTGTGGAAGTGATCAGGAAAGGAAGTAATACGTACTCAGGACAGTTCTCATAGTGTGGAAGAACCAACTGCTCATCTCATCTCCCTTAGTGAAAGCAGCGAAAGATTGCAGGGACAAGTAGTGTGACTTCGCATTTTCATTGCATTACATGAAGGGCAAATAGAAGTGAAGTAGAGAATGGAAAGGTCAACGGTGACATGAAATATATCGAATAGCAAATCAACAAGTACATCAAAAGAGAGAAACAGTCAAGCATAAGACAAAAAAACACTGGAAAAGGGTAACATGAGAACCGACAATGTGTGAACTGTCACAACTCCATCGAAAGAAGGAAACAGTCCACCATCAAACAAACCAACAAACGGACAAGGTAACATGAAATCGAAAATTTGGGAAAGGACCCAAGTCAAGTCATGTATGGAATAACTAAAGTATAACATGACATTCAAGTAGTGGATTTTCTCTTCGTTTTCTTGGTTTTGTGCAGCTTAACGGGATTGTGTATCTTTGTCAGCTTGTTTTGTATTTCCTGTTCATAGCATTTAACCACATTGTATTTGAAGTTCTTCCAGTCTTCCTTGGTTTTCCCTTCCTTCAATTTGAGTAATCCAGCAATGCGACCAAGCAACGCCGCGTTGATTTGAAGGGAGCAACCAAAACGGGTTATAGGTGAATCCTTTGGTCAAATCGGAGTCCAGCCTTCATCATAGGTTGTTGAGGCAGATGTGTGGTGAAGTTCATCGCTGGCCCAGCAGCCCTCTACCACACCGTCACATGCATCTAGACATAGTTCAACATGATATTGGTCCAGGATGAAATAACATCCAACAATATCCCCCAGGTAATCAGAGATCTCCACCCAGTGAAGCTCTCCAGTTTCGCGATCGATTCGGGAAAAGAGACCATACGCTGTAAGGAAGGAGATTACTCAGTTGTAGCATATCTTTAGTATCTGTATAGAGAGGGTATATATGTTGTCCATCCCTCTCCTCCCTTCCTTCTTTCCTCTCGGAGGTTTCTCTTCTCCACTCTCGATCTCTGGCTTCTTCTCTGACCTTTTGTTGTGGTCTAGACTACTATTCTAGTGAAATACACCTCGGTTATAGATCAGTCTAGGCTTCGGCCTGTGAGTCACCTCCCAGTGAAGGTCGAGTGATCCTCGACCTTACACTTTTTTGATCTATACCGACTTCAAACCAACTCTCAAATCCAGTGATCAACAAATTCGATTTTTTTCAGCTATTCAGCCAGACCAGAGACTCAGCAGACTGTTCACTCGCCTTACACGGTGTTTCAAGTTCAAATCAGACTCACCATTAATGGTGTTTTAAGAGTTTTCAATTATCCATCCAGAGATTCAGCACACTGTTCACTCGCCTCTTGCGGCGTTTCAAGTTCAACTTCCAGATCACACTCACTGCCAACGGTGTTTTAAGTCAAACTCCCAGATATCATTTTACACAGTTTTAATTCAATGGAACACAGCCTCCTTTTGGGAATTCTCTTATAGCAATGGTCGTGCCAATAGAACACTCATAACCAGCCTCGGTTTTACCTTGAAAAGATGACACATTCATATTCACACCCATATGGGCATCCAAGCTTGCCTATTTCTTATCCAATTTTGAATCTGTCACCTCACATCATCAGTGCGATACATCAGGTTTCGGCACTGGCCCATCATCTGAATCTTCTTGTCTCGAACTTTGCACCGCATCTGCATTCTCATGACTTTGGAACTTCACTTACACCTAATGCCTGTCGGAGAAAGCCCTCAATTCGATCGCAGAACTGGCGTCGGCGTACTGAAAACTCTACAAAGTCAGCAAGATACCACAGCTTCCCTCTCCAGCACTGCAACACACCTTTTGAGCCCAGCAAAACTCCTCCCGAAGTCCCCTATGACACTCGACCTAGTTCAATGCCGCCCTTGCCAGTTTTTTTCACTCGACCTGTGGTGATGTCTCCATTGCCAAGTACCATCGCCGAACCTGTGTTGTGTTCAATGTCATCTGATTGGTCAAGTTATTCTCCTCCAAGTCGGCCTCATTCTGTACCACCATTCCCAGAGCTGGATAGACGAACTCGCTCAAGGAGCGTTCATTCTCCTCGATTCCCTTTCTTAGACCTTGCTAGCCCGGCCGAACATCAATTTTATCATAAACTACCCATGTTGTCCGATCTGGAACCCTCAGGGAACACTGCTAAACACTCACTAGAGACTCCTATACATACTGAGGGAGAATTGGCGAACGACTCAATTGTAGACACTCAAATGAAATCTACAAACAAGCCTCAATCTCAGCTCGATCCGACCCAAGAAAGTTGTGTAGCGTTGAGACAAGAGTTGAGGGAGCTCGATCAGACCCGAGAAAGTCAGGCAGAGTTAAGACAGGAGTTGAGTGAGGTCCGCGCGATGATTGAAGCCTTGTTGCGTTCACCGGACCATCTACAAACAGACGTGATCAACTCCGAACCAGCAAAATCAAGTGATCAAGCCGCAGCCAGCTATGATCACCCAATAAAACTGCTTTCTTCTGAATCACACTCAGACCCAATGAGCTCGCTTCCAGAATCAATGTCAGATAATCAAGTCGGACCCAGCTGTTATCAGTCTATCAAGTCTCCTCCTTCTGAGTCTCTGTCTAATCGGATCAGCTTGTCTCTGTCATCAAAATCTTCAGATATTGATCCTGACCCAAACAGTTGTATTACAACACTCGCTCGGCCTGATTCCACCAAATTGGACCTCAATGCTCACCCATTGAACTCAACTACAATATCAAATTCTGTTATTGACCCCAACTCAAACAAATCTCTCACAAGGACAAATCAACCTACTCCTACAGATCAAACAATTCTCACCTCTAGTGTTGCTCATTCTGCTGTGTGTGATCCTACTTGTGTTCCAATCAAGAAGAAGAAAAAGAAAAAGACCAAAGCAATCATTCTAGAGACAGAAGTACCTGATACCCTTAATTTTGAACTGACACCACCTGCACCTGCATATGGACCGGGATCTGACAATTATCCGCCTCCGCCAACACAATCTCAAATTCAAGAACTATCTGATATACTTGTTAAGCGTCATCCTGGTCTATGCATACTGGAAACAGATGATCAAGGATTTTACCTCGGTAAGGATTGTAACAAAAGTCCTTTTGATCAAGATGTCCTGCTATATTCCTTTGATGGCACATTGATCTTTCAACTTGAAAATGGGATTTCAATTTCAACAACTTAAATTCTTCTTTAATGTCTTCTATTTGGTCTTTGTTCAAGTCTTCTTTTCTTGGTTCTTGATATTCTTTCTACTCTCTGTTGTCCCATATTACCTTTTCCATAGACTCTGTGACTCTGTGATGGAGGGATATTTTTTCATTTTTCCAATTGGATTATTTAACTTTTATATGATTTTTAGGGAGTGGGTTGTTTTTTAGGAGGGGAGGGTGTAAGGAAGGAGATTACTCAGTTGTAGCATATCTTTAGTATCTGTATAGAGAGGGTATATATGTTGTCCATCCCTCTCCTCCCTTCCTTCTTTCCTCTCGGAGGTTTCTCTTCTCCACTCTCGATCTCTGGCTTCTTCTCTGACCTTTTGTTGTGGTCTAGACTACTATTCTAGTGAATACACCTCGGTTATAGATCAGTCTAGGCTTCGGCCTGTGAGTCACCTCCCAGTGAAGTCGGTGATCCTCGACCTACATACGCATATGG